TTCGGTTCGGTCCGCCGGCACCAGGCAAGCGAGGCGCGCCGAAAGCCGAGCGCGTGCGGCGGAGATCGAGCGCTTCAAGCACTTCTGGCCCCGCGGGATCAACCAGCACCTCCCGCGGGTGCACGTATTCTTGGAATCGCCCGGCGTGTATTTCATTATGCCTTAATGGTGAAATGGTGTGGTTGAATGCGCTGTTGTGACTGGTCGTGTTGACTTGGCCTCTTATCCACTCCCTTCACCCCAACCGCGGCATGCCTTGACCATCACAACAACCACAACCAATATCATCGACGAACAGCTGCGTTCCAAGCACATACGACCATACCTACTGGGAAACTCGGGATCCCGTCCGCTCTCCCATTCGATAAACCAGTAAGGGCCGGACCAGTAGTCGGGTGGGTGACCACCGGCGAATCCCCGGTGTTGTATGTTTTTTTTATACGAAAAGCCACCCCTTTTTGTGGTACCTAGATGCTTATATGCTTGTTGGGTCGATCATTGAAAAGGCTCACGCAGCCTCCCGTCACCTACCCGCGGCTCGTGCTCGGCGGACTCTTCCGTAGTTTCGCCTTTCCTCCCAGAGACAGCCTCCCCGGAGGCCTATGCCGCCATGACTCCTCAGCGTCCGCATCATCGCCACTGCTGCTCTGTCCAGCGTTAAATGTACCGGCGGGAAGGACCTCGAATCCAGGATTCACAATGCGTCGCGATCGGTTTGCGTGCACGTCGCCCGGTGCAAATGTGGGCGATGGTAAAGTAGGCTGGCTTCTTTGGTGCTGGTGTCCTGAATCATTGGGATAACTGGCTCCCGGCTCAGGTGATGCCCAGGGCTCCGGGACTACAACAGCACCGGTGCCTCCAGGGTATCCTACGTGAGCGGCTGTCATGTTCAATGAGCGAGGGATGTCCGAGCCATCGATGGGATGATGCGAGCTCGGCGTTAGCACGTCAACTGTAGGTAAGCGTCTTTCAGAATGATGAGTCGGACGCCGGGGGCCAGCGGTCTGGTATTTGTTTGCAGGAATCGGCATCGACTTATTGGCGTCGGGTGTTTCGTGGTCATAAGACGCAGCAGCAAAAACAGTGTCGCGCATCAGACGAGGGTCGTCGAGTGCCTCAGTGATGTGTGCCGCAACCGGAACGTACGTTTGAAGTCCAGTTCTTGCCTGTGAGTCGCTTTCTTTCGAGTGTCTCACGGCGTTTCCCCCGGTGGGGGTGGAGGTTTCCATTTCGGAGACTTGAGGGGCCGATGGTCGGTACGTCTTCAAAGCGTCTGGATGGAAAGTCTGAAGAGAATTATGCAGGCCAAAGCTCAAGGGCTGCTCAATTCGGGAGTCATCTGCAGGGGTACTTGTATGCGGTGAGGGCAGAGCGAGTACCGGGGCCATCGTATCCAGTCCCTTTCCCTTTGCATTGCTCCGCCCTGGGATCGAAATGTCCATCGACACGAGCGTCGACTGGGTTTTGGTGGGCAAAGAATGGCTGGAGATCCAGATGCCGTCGACTTGGATGCCGCTCTGAATGGCTCGGACGCCAAAGGGAATTTCAGTGACGTCCTTCATCGCTGGCAGGCCCGACTTGCGCATTTCCAGGTCGTGTGTTCGCCTCTCCTCGTCAACAGCCTCCTGTTTCTTGACATATTGATGAGTCCAGCAGAGCTTCCCATATCCGGCAACAAAGACAAGACAAATGGCCGCACCGAGGCACTGCAATCGTCAGTCTCTTGTCACTAGCCGCTTGTTGCCGGTCATTCAATCACTCACAAATGTCATCTGCTGCCACAGCTGCCAGGAGATGAAGAAGGAGGCCATGTAAGGGTTGGTAAGGTACACTGGCGAGGCCTCGTGTGATATACCCATCGAAAGACAAGTGGCCAAGGCTCGGGTCGACCAAGAGGCTCCTGCTATCAAGGAGTAGCGTACGAGGAAGGCGTGATGGGTCGCACTTGCCTCCCATGCACCACTCGAAGAGAGCTTAGGGACACCCAAAATAGGTAGGTACAAATGATGGTTCGGGTTGATAAACGGAGCTTTCATGCCCATTTCATGGTATTAGAGATGCTTTGGCAAAGTGAATGGTTGGAATGGCTAAGCAGATGGGGGGGCTGGGTCAGGAGCGAAAGAGTAAACGGAATATCCGAGGGAAGAACACCCAAGGACAAGACCAGGGAAGCAGTAGGGAGACACCACCCGCATGCTTTGCACAAAAAGAAAAGACATGTTGGTCCTCGCAAGCCAGGATGTGCAAACGGGTGCTGGCATGTCATAATGAAACAGGTCGCGGGTAGCGACAGAATCACCAAACTTGCCCTGGCACTTGTCCGGTTTTCTGTCTATGGCCATGCTAGCAAGCATCCAAGACACCAACTCTTGGCTTCGACTGAGCGATGCTGCAGGAGATGCGATGAAGGATCAAGAAGGCGAGAGTTACGCTTCGCTGGAGGTTATTTCCATTAGCTTTGTACTGATGTGTAGATGCCCGACCCTTCAAAGTTCCAACATAAGGGATTCTTACAGCCAGGACGAACAAAGCATCTGCCTTGATGGAATACAAACCTCTTCGATTCCACCCGTTCTGATATCAACTTGAACTGACTTCCATACAGGTTCACAGTCAACGGAAATCAGCTCCAGCACCGGCAGCACTGGCGTCGCGAAGGGCAGGCTAGCTTCTCATTGTTGTCAGAGACCCCTTCAGATGCCTCTCCCACCTACCCGTAGAGAACCTGCCTAAAATTACCTTACATTCGATCCACGATCATGCCGAATACAATCCGGACATGTTCGAGGTCGAGCACAAAAGCCTGGCGGTGGAGGAAAGTCGCCCCACGCAATCCCTCCCCCCAGAAACTCGACCAGGAGCAACAGGGTGACACCATCCTGCAGCTCCCCCTCGAGATGATACTACACATCACGACGTTCCTCGATGACAGAGATATGATAGCCCTAACACTCTACTGCAAAGGCCTCTACAGAGCCCTGCCTCCGCCCCGTCTCCCGCCCGGCGCCCAGCGAGAGGACCTGCTGCTCCGCCTCGAGTGCGCCATGGGCGACGAGCTGTGCCCCCTCTACAGCAAGATCTAGGATTTCTCCTACCTCTCGCGGTAGCAGAGCCGCAGAGAGCGCTATGCCTGTCTCGAGAGGCGGCTCCGCGTCGGCTCGGGCGGATACAACCTCCCGTACCACCACAGCCTCGTCATGATGAACCGCCTCTACGGCGCCCCAAGGGGGATTCCCTTGACCATACACAAAATGGAGTTTGTCAATAGCGACAGCAGAGAACCATGCTGGAGCATTTATACCACCATTTGCATCGTCCGAGGCGAGCTCATGCTAGTCGTATACCACGAGATGAGGAGCAGCGACCTTGACACCCTCTGGCAGGCCATCGAAGAGAAAGAGCACTGGATTTGCAACCACAGGACGACGAACGCTTCATGCGTGGGTTCATTATTCTGGATGAAAAAAATATCATGATGCAGAAGGGAACCAGGACTTTCGGCAGGGACAGCTCTATTGCCCCCACTGCCTCACGGATTACGTGGCCATGCTGACCCTGGATCGCAGCCTGCCCGCATTTGGATTAACAGTTTCCCGAAGGGATACCGAGTGGAAGTGGTTGACTCTTGCTGACGAAAAGGCTGACGGAACGTCTTCTTTCAAAAGAGACGTGACCGAGTGGCCTCCAACAGCCGTATCTCATGTGACAGATAGACAGGGCCCGCGAGAACGGCACACAGAAAGTGACTGTCTCAAGGGCCGAAAAGTCAAGTCGACGTCCTGCGACACAGTTTGTACTAAGGCAACGATTGGTCAGTCTTCTATTTCATAGAAAAGAAGAGGTCCATCGATGTGAAAAGCTTTCTCCACACCGGCATGTGCCTCTTGGTTGTACTGCCTGCCACAGTCAGATAATGATATCTATATTCTTATTCGTGCTGTCTGTATATACGCTACGGGTATGTATAATCCCAATCATCTGGAGTGTGAGCCCATTTGCCAAAGGCAACCCAGATCCCAAGGCAACGCCATATTCAAGAGCCCTGTAGCCCCCCCCCCCTTCTTTTCGTGAATCCACCCCGGTAACAAAACGATGATGGATAGCTGAGACCAAATTACGATCAGACCTCCGGAGTCGCCCTACCCAGCCTGGGCGAAGGCGCCCCCAACGGCGTCAGGCCCCTTGCGATTGTCGTTGCCGGCGCGCTGGCGGGCGAATCTCTCCGCGACGCCCCCGCCTTGACAGCGATGAGCATGTCCCTCGCCTCCAGCACCCTCCTCTCGAAAATCATGGTCCTCTCCCTCTCACGGTCGATTCTCGCCTTGCGCTCGGCAAAGTCGCGGTCCGCGTCGCCCAGGCGGCGCTGGCGCTCTGCGTCCGTCCTCGCGCGCCGCTCCGCCTTGCTCGACGCCTCTTCAAGGCGGCGCGCCGTAGAGGATGAGATGATGCGCGGCGGGCCCGGGGGTCGTGCGCGGCTGTGACGAAGCGCTCCAGAAGCAGCGGAAGATCAGCTTTGTCTTCTCGGGATTGTCCATTGTGCCCCCAGACCACAATCTCGTCACCGTCGTGTAGTTGAATCCAGTGCAGCGAAGATGATCCCGGCCGCGGCGAGGGGAGGTGACAGCCGTTGACGTGGATGCCGATGGTCGCTTTCGTCGAAAGGTAAAATCCATACTTGGTAGGGTCCACGTCTTGTCTGTCCCAGGGGTGTACAGTCTTGCTGGCATGCCGTCTGGTTGGCTCAAGCTCTTCTGTCCACAGCAGTATCTTGACGGCATATTTCGGAACCCGAAGTTCAGTCTTCGGTGTGTACACGGCTGTATTCTCAGGCCCCCTGCCCCAGGACACAAATGTATTTCGCACGGGAACGGAGATGCCAGACACCACAGAGCCAGGCGAGGATTCCAGCACCGCCAACGCACGCTGGGGCACCTCGTCATCAATGATGGGCACAATCCGTTGGGTCTCGGGAGGTAGCGTGTCTGGCAGATCATCCTCTTCCGGTGGCGGCGCTGTCGGTGGTGGAGCGCTCGCTTCTCTGAGTTCCGCCATGGTCCTCACATCGCGTTGCAGGGTGCGCGGCCTGTCGTCAGGGTTCAGAAGTACTGGCTGCTCCGTGTCCCCGAGACCACCCTGATGAGGAGGGAAGTATTTCATGGCCAGATCCCAGAGACCTGATTTGCCTGGCGCAAACACCTCCTTGCGACTCTCGGCGGCTTGCGTGAATACTTGTCGCTGTAACTCGGTCATTTCTGGATAGTCGAGATGCCAAGTTCCCATGTTCTGTCCCTCCCAGAAAAACGTTTTGTCCTGGGGACCATCAATCTGTCGGCCAGACTTCAGTCTCTCGACGAGCGGTACAGAAGCCAGAAGCGTAAACTCCTCCATAGCCTGATCGGCAAGGGCCTCGATATTGCCCTCTGACCGAAGCCGCTTGACGACCGGTTTCCCCGGCCTTGACTCCTCAAACTCGTCACTCGTATCGTATGCGGGTTTGCGTTTGCTCGCGGTCCAATAGCTGTCGTTAACGCCTGAATCGTTGGCAGTCTTCATGGTCGTGTCGAGAATGACTGATTCGGATGCCCCTAGGCTTTGTGACCGAACGTTCTCCACCAGACTGTGCAGCTGGTCGTTGGACTGGCCGTTTGTCCTTGACAGAGAAAGGCGGGCGCCGTTGTTTGAATGTCCGCCGATGGTCGAAGCTTCATGAGACCCTTGGCTATCCAATATCTCCGTCTCCATGCTGTCTTCGGGTGCATTGTGAGAGGAGCCGGGGAGTGATATGTTCAGGCGGCCCTCCGGTATGACCCCCGAGCTCCCAACGGCTGAGACATTTACCTCACCAAATAGCTTTGGGCCGGCGCCCGGACGGCCAAATGTTCCATTCTCATCCTCGTTCTCCTTTTCCGAATCCTCGGCTAGAAAATCGTCTAGGACATCGTCGATTACTTCTTCGAATTGAGGCTCGTGCGGAAGACGTCTGCTCTGCCCCTCCTGAATGCTCAGCTGCGAAGCTCCAACCTGCAGGTCGCTCTCGTCGTCATCCGTAACCTCGTCCAAAGACTCCGCATCCTCTGGACGCTTCTGCCCGCCGAGCCAGGGGTCGCCTTGTAGATCGTGCACTGTCGCCCGGTGTTCTGGGCGGCGTTGCAGCATAGAGCCGAGAAAGCCTATTGCGTCGTCTGATACCCCTGCCTCGACCAATGGCTCAGTGTTGAGATTCGTGGTCATGATTTGATGTAGCAACTCCGAGTAACTGATACCATTCCGCACGGGATACGGTGGCTTGCCCGTGAGGGCGTAAAAGAGAACACCGCCGAGGGACCAGATGTCGATAGCATGGTCGTAACGTTGACCAGGAGGGGCTCGCCGCGACTTACCCCGGGGTTGTCGGAATCCATGGTCATCGTATTCGAGATACTCGGAGTATACCTCCGGCGCACAATAGAGGAGTGTGCCACAGAAGGTGCGCAGAAAGGTCTGCTCGTTATCGACCATCTTGGAAAGGCCAAAGTCGGTCAGCTTGACTTCAAAGGGATCGATCGACTGGACCAAGATATTGTCGGGCTTCACATCTCGATGCGTAATGTTGTTCTCGTGTAGGTAGTCCATGGCGCTCAGCAGCTGGGTGGCCATACGCTGGACCAACACTTCGGGAAGGATGCCCCTTTCAGCGACGAGCCTGCCGAGGTCACCTCCGGGGACAAACTCCATGATGATGATGAGCAAGCGATTCTCCCAATCAAAATGCTCGATGTAGCGGACCACGTTATTCTGGCTTGGATGTTAGTCGTACACACGGGTCATCAGTCGGGGAACGAGACTTGCATGATGAACTTTCTGCATGATTCTCATCTCGTTCTCGACCTTCTGGTCCAGAACTCCATTCTTCATGAACCGCCGCTTCTCCAGCTCTTTCGCCGCGTAAGGTTTGCCGTCGAACTTGGACGTGACCTTGTGGACGATAGCGAAGGCGCCCTTGCCGATCTGGCCGACCTTATTGTACTTGTTCGAGCCACGCCACTCCCGCGGAAACCGGTCTACGTTCTCCTGGGTCGTGCCGGACGGAAGTGGTATCCTCTTGGGCGGCTGCGCCGGCGGCGGTCGATTTTTGGGCGAAGAGAAGAGATCGGGATGCCCGCCTCCTGGGGTAGGTACCACTGTTTCGGCAGCCTCTTTCTGCAGATCGTCGATGCGCTCAAAGTAGTCTTCCAGATTCCGGATCCAGGCTCTGTCGTACTCCCCCTCGCGCTTGGGTATCCGAACAAGGAACTCCAGATCCTGCTGCTCGGAATGCATCAGGATCTTGATCTTGGAGCCGTGACTCAATGTCCGCCGCACATCCATCTTGTCGTTCGGATTCTTGCCCCTCAGAAGATTGGAATCCACAAAGGTCCCGTTCGTGGACTGGTCCTCCAGCATGACGACACCATACTTGTTCACGTAGATCCGAAAGTGGACATTGGATAGTCTCTTCATAGGGTCATTGCTGAAGCACACATCGCATCGCGACGCGTTCCGGCCAAACTGAAACCCCTGCAGCGGATCCTTGACCAGCGTCGACAGCCTCAGGATGAGGGCATAATCACCCGTGTTCGGTGGCGCAAGCTGGAAGTTGTCGGCCTGGTGCTCCTGGTCATAGTCGGGCTCGATGGCGGCGGCCTGTTCGCGACCGAGGATGTGGGTGGCGTCGTGTTGGGCTATGCGGAGGACCTCTTGGCGGGCAAAGGGGGAGTATGGGTAGAGGAGGCAGATGATGTCGGAAATGTCATCGTCGGAGAAGCCCGAGTTTTGCTTGCCGACACGCCGCGGATCCAGGACATTCTGGGTCGCTGCAGCCGTGAGGGGCGAAATGTTAGCTATTCAACTGATTTGTAAGGATACGAGCGGGGAGCAGACGAGAGGGGGCATCAGTACGTTGGGTGAGCTCGCCGCCATCACTCTCCATTGGGGCGACGGCAGTGTATGTGAGACTGTCAAGGCAGGCCTTTGTAACAACAGGCGGCCACGAGCGCCTCAGGCTTGCTTGTCTTGTCTGCCTTCAGAAGCTCGGGCCGTCGGGGAGCAGCCTGGCGCAGAGGGAGTTCGTCACGGTTGAGATGGCAAGAAGGCAAACGGTGTGTCCGTCTCCAGGTCGGACTCGGGTATATATTCGTTAATCGTATGCAATCGTTGCGGTCGTGAGAGTATCGCGTCGTCTGGCTTTCTGGCGGGGTCGTCAAGGTTGTCGGCGGCGCAAATGTGCGGGCTGGGTAGGTAGAATGTTCGACAAGGGTATTGGTCGTCACCGAGCAACGGGGGGGTTTTCAAGCTCGCGGGAACGTCATGTCAGGCCAGGCAGGCGAGTGTAGCAGATGACTATAGATTATTCGTACAGAACGGCCAAAGGCAGAGTGAAGCCAGCGCAGAGTGCAGAGTCCGAAACTGTGTTCAGGCGGTTGGCATCAGGCGGTGATGGAAGAGAGGGGTGCGTGACGTTGGGAAAGAAAACTGTCGAGGGTGAGTGATGTCTCTGAATTCGAG